ACAGCTGTAGAACAACTGTAGAACATCTATAGAACAACTGTAGAACAACTGTAGAACAACTATAGAACAACTGTAGAACTATAGAACATCTATAGAACAGCTGTAGAACAACTGTAGAACTATAGAACATCTATAGAACAACTGTAGAACATCTATAGAACAACTGTACTACATCTATAGAACAACTGTAGAACATCTATAGAACAACTGTACTACATCTATAGAACAACTGTAGAACATCTATAGAACAACTGTAGAACATCTATAGAACAACTGTAGACCATCTATAGAACAACTGTAGAACATCTATAGAACAACTGTGTAACAACTGTAGAACATCTATAGAACATCTATAGAACAACTGTACTACATCTATAGAACAACTGTAGAACATCTATAGAACAACTGTGGAACATCTATAGAACAACTGTAGAACATCTATAGAACAACTGTAGAACATCTATAGAACAACTGTACTACATCTATAGAACAACTGTAGAACATCTATAGAACATCTATAGAACAACTGTACTACATCTATAGAACAACTGTACTACATCTATAGAACAACTGTACTACATCTATAGAACAACTGTAGAACATCTATAGAACAACTGTACTACATCTATAGAACAACTGTGGAACATCTATAGAACATCTATAGAACAACTGTACTACATCTATAGACCAACTGTACTACATCTATAGAACAACTGTACTACATCTATAGAACAACTGTAGAACATCTATAGAACAACTGTACTACATCTATAGAACAACTGTACTACATCTATAGAACAACTGTAGAACAACTGTACTACATCTATAGAACAACTGTAGAACAACTGTACTACATCTATAGAACAACTATAGAACAACTGTACTACATCTATAGAACAACTGTAGAACAACTGTAGAACAACTGTACTACATCTATAGAACAACTGTAGAACAACTGTAGAGCAACTCTTCTCAACTCTTCTTCTGGGGCAGATGTAATCTTCATCTCTGAAACCTGGCTCAACAAATCAGTACTGAATAATGACGTGGCAATCAATGGATTTAATATCTACTGCTGTGATCATCAAAAAAAGGGGGGTGGGGTGGGGAGTCACTATTTACATCAGAGATTCTCTGGTTTCTAGTCTTGTGTCTTCTAAAACAATTCCAAACCAGTTTGAAGCCTTAGCTGTAAACATCAGTTTGAATGGAGGCCAGATCTTACCTGTAGTGGGTTGTTATCGTCCCCCCTCAGCAGCACCTGAGGCTCTGTCCTCCCTGATGGAATTCCTTGGACATTTAAAATTCAAAGATATTTTTTTGGCAGGAGATTTCAACATTGACTGGGATAAGTCGACCCCCCTCTGTGATAAATTAAAGGAATGTTGCCTGTCACTCAATCTAACCCAATTGATCGACTCTCCCACTAGGCCAAACGAAAACCTTCCTGAAAAATATTACGTCTTAGACCTGTGTCTAACTAATATGCTTCACAAATTCCCTGGTACAGGTGTATTCGCCAACATTTTGAGTGATCATTGTGTGACAGCTGCTTTGAGAGATATTAAACTTCCACCTTCTAAGCCCAGATTAATTCAAAAAAGGATCTGAAACGTTTTTGTGAACAGTCATTCCTCTGGGATCTGTCTCACTTTGACTGGCATCATATTCTATTAATTGATGACGTGAACTCTGCTTGGAACTATTTTCATAATAATTTCATTTATTTTCTGAACAAACATGCTCCTTTTCGTCAGTTCAGAATAAAGGGACGAGACAGCCCCTGGTTTACTCCAGAGCTAGCTGACCTCCTGCACAGGAGAGATCATCTTTGGGCTGCAGCGAGAAAATCTGGCTCAGACACTGATTGGTTGAGTTTTCGACAGATGAGGAATAAATGTACAACTGTTGTCAAAGCAGCAAAACGCAACTATTTCTTATCTCAGACCTCCAAAAATCTAAATGACCCTAACAGATTCTGGAAAACAATTAAATCTCTCTCAGGCACCCCCCAATCATCTGACCTCCCATCACAACTTCTCGTTAACTCTGTTCCTGTGTCAAATAAGCACGAGATCCTGAACTGTCTCAACAAACATTTTGTTGCTTCTGGTTCTTTATTTGACACAGTTACTAATGGAAGATCAGCCACTTCACTTAATAACCAAACTTCTACAAATCAAATCCCTCCTACAAGTCAATCCTCAGTTAATCACAGCTTCTCTTTTTCTCCATTCTCAGTCAGTGAGGTCAATAAACTGTTAAAAGATCTTGACCCTAAAAAATCTGCAGGTCCAGATGAACTTCCACCTTATTTCTTAAGGCTGGCTGCTCATATCATCACAGTCCCTGTGACCCACATCTTCAATCTCTCCATGAGACAAAACTCCATCCAGACTCTTGAAAACAGCCTTTGTTCTTCCTTTGCTGAAGGGAGGTGACCCCCCCTCACTGAACAACTATGGACCAATCTCTAAACTCTGCATTTTAGCCAAGGTTCTAGAAAAACTGATAAACTCTCAAATCAGAAATGACCTGGACTCATTTAACATCTTACCTCCACATCAATCTGGTTTCAGGAAACAACACAGCACAACCACTGCTTCACTGAAGGTTCTTAATGACGTTGTTGAAGCACTGGATGCTAAGGATTATTGTGCTGCACTTTTCTTAGACCTGTCTAAAGATTCTGACTCTGTGGATCAAAACATCTTGAGTCAGAAGATCTCTGAAACTGGTTTCTCAGATCACACCATTGGTTGGTTCTCTAACTATCTTTCAGACCGGAGGCAATGTGTTCAACATAATGGTACATAATGGTAGAAGGTGCTATTTAAGAGACTGAGCTGAATATAGCACCTCAGACTGAGGAAGTCTCTCGGATGAGAGACGAAACGTTTCTATATATTTTTTTTGCTTTGTTTTGTTTTTTTGAATGTCCAGAGGACCAGATTGAACTTTTTTGGATTTTTCTACCTGGATTATTGAGCATGCATCAGGGTACTTCCTTCAGTTATTTAACAGTCAACAATGGTGTACCACAAGACTCAGTCTTAGGACCCACCCTCTTTACAACCTACATACATAATGTAGGTAAAAACATCCCTGATGCATCCATACATTTCTACGCTGATGACACAGTTGTTTATTGTCGAGCTAAAACTGTTGCTAAGGCTCTATAACTTTTGAAATCTGCATTTAACATCCAGACAGATTTGTTACACCTCAAACTTGTCCTAAATGACGACAAAACCAAACGGATGCTTTTTTCAAACAAGAAGTCGGTCCCAGCAGTTCTTCCTCCGATTTTATCAAATGGTGTCCTCATTGAGTTTGTTGATCCTGATGGATGGAGGGATGAATGGATGGATGAATGGATGGATGGATAATTGGATGGATGAATGGATGGATGGATAATTGGATGGATAGATGGATGGATGAGTGATGGATGGATGGATGGATGGATGAGTGAGTGATGATGGATGGATAGTTGGATGGATGGATGGATGGATGGATGGATGGATGGATGGATGGATGGATGAGTGATGGATGAGTGATGGATAGTTGGATGGATGGATGGATGAGTGGATGGATGGATAGATGTAGTCTGGTCCATGATGAATCCAGACAGACGTTGCTGTGTTTCAGCAGCACTTTGAAAAGCTAAAGGAAGAAACAAATTGTTCATTTAGCTGCTGTTTAGCTGCTGTTTAGCTGCTGTTTAGCTGCTGTTTAGCATCCTCAGCTTGGACCGACTCCTCATCCGTTCAAGTTAAAGTTGGATGATGGTGAATAATAAGTGGCATCCTGGAGGTGGAATCGACCGATCTGGATGTTTGTGTTCCAGCTGTAAGAGTTTCTGTGATCCAGGCCGAGAAGATCCCACCACAGTAAGATCCTGGTTCCTCTCCAACACTTCACCAGTTTATACAAGATGCAGGGAAGACTGGAGTGACGTGAGGCGTTTAAAGACTGGAGATAAACGATCTGTGTTAATGAGGAACACCCCCGCTCTCCCCCACGTGAAGAAGAACGAGGGATGAGGATCATGGAGAGGACAGCAGAGCTGAGAACAGCTCTCACTCCTTCATCGTCCTCGCTGCCTCTCCTTCACTCCCAGCCTCCTTCAGGTCACCTCTCTGCTCTGGTTCTTTCATCTTCAGCTCATGTTTGTTTGTTTGTTTGTTTGTTTGTTTGCATTAAACAGGCAGAGGAGGAGAGGATTGTTCTGGCTGTGAACCTGTCTGGGAGGAAAAAGAAAGAGTGGGACAGAAACAGGAGCTAATGGCTTCTCTTCTGTTTCATTCTGTCATAACTGCGAGGGTTTGGTTTAGAATCTGTCCCCCCCCCCCCCCCCCCCCCCCCCCCCCCCCCCCCCCCCCCCCCC